TGTTTGTAACATCTCCAGCTTTAAATACCATCAATACATGTAACGAAAGGACATTTTATAATGTCACATGGCCTGCCCTTGGTTTTACATATTTTACCGGTTAAATGTATAAAACAATTAGAGCAATTTACTAAGATTTGGTTTGAAGCCAGTATGGCTATCCAAAGATGGTAAAAGAGAAATCAAGCTCGACCACTGGAGGTTTAAATGTCACGAGAACAAGACAGACGTAACGAGGTCAAGACAGTGACGTCATTGTTCAATTATTATATCTGATATCTCTGTTACAAATACAAGACCACACGTGGTCCATTGAATGTGCCTGATAGCAATGCCACACAGTCAAGATGTGTTTGTTTGGTTTTGGGTCTAACGTCCACTCAACAGCTATGTCTATGGGGACACCGCCAGATAAAAAGGTAGAACAATGAGGACAGCAAAGACAAAGATTGCAAATGTAGCAATAGGGCAGCATATCAATAGGGGTTCTTCGCTATCCCCTTAACAGAACTCATAGAAAAAAGCCCCGATTTACAGGGGCCCCAGATTAGTCGTCTATTACGTCATTCATTGTGATGTAGCGGGTACATTCTTTCCCCGAACTTGCATAGAGGACAAAGATAAGACCAGCCCAATCGGAACGGTGGCAATGTCGGAAAGTATTGCCACAAATACAAGACAAGCAATTGCTCAGTGATTACAACAGGTAGCTATATGATAAATACAAACCTAGACATGGTTCAGTGACCATATCAGACAGAAATCCAACAAATGCAAGACCAGAAATGGTTCATTGACCACATCAGAAAAGCGATGTCACAAATACCAAGACCAGAAATGGTTCAATAACCATATCAGATAGCATGCCAGAAAGACAAGATAAGAATAGGTTTTAATATTCAAGATTTATTCAAATTTTAGGCCATAAGCCTTTCAGGACATGATACATATACAACTACAGTGTACGCAACTGTATATGGAATGATACCCTTAAATAAAGATGATGTACATTGATATATACATGATAATTAAGGAGTTCTTATCTTTCACGTTAACGAGTTACATTCTTTCCATTCTTTTTTGCTCTTCTATCCGAGCCTACATAAGTGAATAATATAAGTTGATAAAACTTGTTTCATAACTGTTGTAAAAACAAATGAAGTTTATATAAGCGACGTAACAGAAAAGACGGTCGATAGAACAATTCGCTTCGTTAAATTGTAAAGGAGGCTAAATGACGTTGCACAGTTGACTTTTCGTTTAATTTCATAAACAAACACTATTTTAATATTTTCTTTCCGTGACTTCAAAGAACATTTAGTTTTTCGCTTATAATGGCATAAAATATTGGTAATATGGTACAGAAGTGGTTTTGATTTCAAGAGCTTAAATTTTAACTACTAGGATCGTTTGATAAATCTCAAATGACGTCATGATGTTCAGTTACATGCCGTCCGTCGTGACTTAGAGTTTGGAATGGTCATACACTCAGGTAGACTTATTGTTGTATTCTTGAACGCCAGAGAAAAAACCAAGGACTTTAGTAAAATAGTTTTAATATGACATAGACGAGGTGGTCAGAAAACCGTTTCTTCTCCCTGTTGAGAGTGAAATATCCGATCGCGAGCTAGGACACGTTCCATTACGTTACATTACAAGGAACAAATCCGGCAATAAATATTGACAAACAGATTCATCCGAAACCGCAGAACCTATATGATAACACCGATTGTATTCCCAAAAGGAATCCGAGATCGTAACCAGCTGAATCAAGACTTTGTCTGGAAATTTAACTAAAATACTATTTTTAGAAAAAAATCGATCATTGATCGGTTAACGTCGGTGTGACTACATGCAGGGGTATATGTGTCTCTCTCTATTAGAGGAGAGATTTAGTTGTGTGATGTAATCCCAGTCTACACTAACATTAAAAGATAGAGCCCGTTACTTTCAGACGTCTAACGATGTATTTTTTGTGAAGCCGTCCATCACAGGGAGCACGTGCTTCCCAGAAATCAATTCGATTTGGCTCCGTCACTAATCTTAACGTGTTAAATGGAACGGTATATATTTCTGAGTGAAAAAAAAAATGTTGATCTTTTAAAAGTGTTTTATGATCCTATTGTCATTTAACCAGATACAAACTATTTCTTTTAAACTTTTCAAATTGTAACGGACCTTTTAAGAAAAAAATCAAAACTATTGACTTCAGCTATAGATTCTATGAATATGTTACCTCCTTTTCATACATTAGGGTCACTTGATGGCGTCCAGGAAAAAAATTCCAAGATTATCAAAGTCAGTATGTGATACATTTTAAAAATGTGTTTTATGTGAAAATAAAAAAAATGGTAAAAGTATGTTTATGTTACAGGATTTCAGAAGATCATGTTAATTCGTCGTGTACCAATATTTCATTACATTCTAAATTTCGATAACGTAAAAATATTCAACATTGAACATTCGAGCAAACAGCGTATCAAGATTAAAGCTGCATCAAACGAACAAAACAATGGAACTGTAAAACAAAAATAACTTTTGAATCGTAAGCACTAGCACCTGTCTAAACTGAACCTGTGTAATCAAGAACTTTTCTTGGTGCCTCAGTGGTCGGTCTGGACAGGTTTCGCGACTGTTTCACTCTGTTTATTCGTGACACCGACCGCTAGGTGAATTAGACACGCAGGTTAACAGCATGGCCTATTTACCCTGATCTATGGCAGTACTTAATATTTCGTAGAAACAGATAACAGTATTTGCAAACGTAATAAAAATAGCATTAAAAATAACAGAGGTATTACTAAAAGAAAAGGAGATATCGATAATTTATCTATCTTAATCTGTATACGATATATTTCTCATTGTCAAATATATCTCTCTCAAAGTACATTTATTAAGAATATCTTTCAATGTAAAAGGATATCTTGAAATAAATTAAAGTTGTTAAGTTGGCTTGTCATTAATGGTTAGTCTCCTTATCAGCTGGTACTGAGGGTGTACATGGTAGTTGTTTTGGATTTGAAGATTAGAACATGATGAATTGTATCATTGGGATCAATCTACATGATTAATACAAGTCATGGCTTGAAACGACTTGGTCCTTAGCTTTTTGGTTTGACTTGACTTGTGTATTAATATAATAACACATTTACAAATTCATGTGACTGACGGATGTGATGGTTGGCCATTCCAAGCATATTCTAATCTATTATATACCCAAACACATTTGTGGAACAAAATCCCTAGATATATATATTATATATAAAGTTCAAGAAACATTGCATTTCTATGTACTAGTACGCCAATTCAAAACTTAAATCTATAATTGGCAGAAAGAAAAANCCCCCAAAAAAAATTAAAAAATTAATGCATGATGTAAAATAAACGAGGTGACGTGGGTATTTTGGGTGGAAGAAAGATCTTCAAAGGGACATAATTATGTTTGTTGTGTTTCTCGGAAAGTGTTGTTATATACAAACCCTTCAAATAGATCCTACTTTAAACATATTTTTTTATAAATTAAACCTTTGCATTATCCTGTCGTATACAAGCGGGCAGTTAGGTGTCCATGTAAAGTGAATACAAGATTTGTTTCACTGTCTTTTAAGATGTATCACGTTAAAACCGAAGGAACCGTTACCTTTTTCCTCTTTTCTATTCCTTTCGTTCATTCCTTCTCTCTATTCCTTTTATTTGATATGTATATCTGTCCCTTTCATCCATTCATTTCTCTAATCTGTCCCTTTCATTCGGTCATTTTGTTCATGATCTCTATTCCTTTTCATTCGTTTATTTTTCTGTTCCTTTTATTCGTTCGTTTTCTTTCTCTTTTGTTTACTGAGTCCATCGTTACTTAACATTTATTCACTCCAACTATCCCTTTCATTCGTTCATTCTGTTCCCTTCATTCGTCCATGCATGAACATCACCAGCACCGCCTTATTCTTTTCGGCTAAAATCTGTTGCCAGATTATAGGGGTTCAAAAAGACAAATGAATTCATGTGCAGGCTCAGTTAAAGTATTCATTTGAAGGTCTCTGCACTGTTCAGGGTTTATTAAGACAGATTTCACTCATAATAAATGGCCGGATTTAAACTCGATATCAGTCTCAATGCCTTCATCCTAAGATTTCTTTTTATACTTCTTTTTTAAAACCCACAAAAGAAATTGATACTACTTCTTACTCCATATACTGACAGGGTCGGAAGAGTCTTTGCGTTGAAGCTCCTGAATCTTTTACTGGGCAAAAGTTTTTTTTAATCAAGAGTGATATTTTGTATTTCAAATTGCAGTGAAGGATAGATATTGGTAAACAGTAATACTCCCGGAATAAAATATAAATGAAACTGCTTTTGTCACCTTTTTTTTTTTATAATTTATGAAGTTGTGGTGGAGTTCGGGAGGAGGGGAAGTTTCTTGAACGGGAGGGAGCAACAGTTGCTAAGGTGTTTGTGTGTGTGTTTCGGGGTTGGGTCTCTTTTTTCACCCTTCCCTCCACTCCATTTTTTTCATCAGCAAGCCCTCCCCCTCCCAGTCACAAATTGATCACACATACATGTATTTCAAACCCCCTAAATCATAAAAGACGTATTCTTGGTATATCAGGCCGCATCTCTCCAGAACATTTTTTTTTACATTTGCCTGTCGGTGACTGTGAAGACTTGACTTCGGTCAGTGCACTCTTAAGCAGAGCAATTTATAGGACCACACGACTGGGAAAAGCGCATGCGCCGCGTGTTAAATAAGGGAATGAAAAGCCATATTACACTCGATTAATCGTATTCTATCAATATGATTAGCTTTTATGGGGACAAATATTTCCCTCTCGTTCTTACTGTTTCAATGTGACGGAGACGCGGAACATAACATTGCGTACGGCGTCTCTGGTAGAGCTGGATCAATACGTGCCAGCACTGCCGACAAGTTACAGCAGCCATGCGCTGGCTCTGAGATACAAACTAAACCGGATTAATGATAATTCCCTTCTCATATATTTCAGAAACCATCTTACCAGAGAATACCTTCGGCAAAGCGAAGTGAAATATCATCTCATGGTGGTTTGTTGGAAAATGGTGAACCCCGGCGCGACCACTTTTGAGGACTCTTCAAACAACATCAGTGCCATTTCTGAGAACGTTTATAAGCAGACGACAGAATGTAGAATGTGTTTGCCTTACCACGCTGTCGGATTCTCATACAATGCAGGATTTGAATCGTACGGAGAATAATAGAAACAGGGATTTGTTGGAGGTTGTTCTCCAAAATAAGGAGGCGGCCAGATTGTCCTCGGCAGACACTATTCAAAGGATAGCAACCTCTCTGCATGCTACAAACGGTAACCTCAGTCGTCCTTCCAGCTTCGTATCAAAAAGAAGCACAACGTTATCGCAGTCTCAGGAGCACTTAAGCGATGACGAACCCTCTATGGTCCAGGAACGGAAAAAGAGTACAAACTCTGTTCAAAGCAGTATAGTTAGTTTGGGCCTGATGTGTATCGTGTCGGTAATACAAAGTGCTGTGTCTGTTCAGATCCTTTACTACATATCAGAGACCCGCCGAGATGAACCGTCCCTCAGGAATGGGACACTGTTGTCGACCCCAAAGGATTTCGATGACGTATTGGAGGTTGCCACCGCGTTCTGCACGTTTGTGCTCGTACTTTGTGTTAGCTGCCTGTTAGTATGCTCTATGCAATGTTTCTTCGCCTCCAGGATACTTCAGGTGGCCGAGGGAGAGGAGAGGTAAGTACGCTCACTATGTAGTGATTTTTTTCTATATGATCGAGGAAGCTGAGGGAGACACATGCTCCCTTTAGCAGATAAGATAATTGGTCAGCTTGGTAGTTGGTAGAGAAATATGACGGACCGTTGTCCTTTTGGAAGTTAAGGTATAGGACAACCGATGATCCTCTAGGACAGAGATAGGCCAGGTCACGTTTCTCTAGGTAGTTTGGTATAGGACAGAGATAGGCCAGGTCACGTTTCTCTAGGTAGTGTAGTATAGGATAGAGATAGGCCAGGTCACGTTTCTCTAGGTAGTGGAGTATAGGACAGAGATAGGCCAGGTCACGTTTCTCTATGTAGTTTAGTATAGGACAGAGATAGGCCAGGGCACGTTTCTCTAGGTAGTGTAGTATAGGACAGATATAGGCCAGGTCACGTTTCTCTAGGTAGTGGAGTATAGGACAGAGATAGGCCAGGTCACGTTTCTCTAGTTAGTGTAGTATAGGACAGAGATAGGCCAGGTTACGTTTCTCTAGGTAGTTTAGTATAGGACAGAGACAGGCCAGGTCACGTTTCTCTATGTAGTTTAGTATAGGACAGAGATAGGCCAAGTCACGTTTCTCTAGGTAGTGTAGTATAGGATAGAGATAGGCCAGGTCACGTTTCTCTAGGTAGTTTAGAATAGGACAGAGATAGGCCAGGTCACGTTTCTCTAGGTAGTGTAGTATAGGATAGAGATAGGCCAGGTCACGTTTCTCTAGGAAGTTTAGTATAGGACAGAGATAGGCCAGGGCACGTTTCCCTTGGTAAGGTAGTATAGGACAGAGATAGGCCAGGTCACTTTTCTCTAGGTAGTGTAGTATAGGACAGATATAGGCCAGGTCACGTTTCTCTAGGTAGTTTGGTATAGGACAGAGATAGGCCAGGTCACGTTTCTCTATGTAGTTTAGTATAGGACAGAGATAGGCCAAGTCACGTTTCTCTAGGTAGTGTAGTATAGGATAGAGATAGGCCAGGTCACGTTTCTCTAGGTAGTTTGGTATAGGACAGAGATAGGCCAGGTCACGTTTCTTTAGGTAGTTTAGTATAGGACAGAGATAGGCCAGGTCACGTTTCTCAAGATAGTTTAGTTTAGGACAGACCATGATCCTCTAGGAAGTGAAGGTATAGGGCAACCAATCATCCTCTAAGACAGAGATAGGCCAGGTCATGTTTCTCAAGGTAGTTTAGTATAGGACAGACCATGATCCTCTAAGACAGAGATAGGCAATATCATGATTCCCTAGGTCGTTTAGTATAGGACGGACCATGATCCTCTAGGAAGTTAAGTATAGGACGGACCATGATTCACCAGGAAGTTGAGGAAAAGGGCAACAAATGACTTTCTACAACAGGGAAAGGCCAGGTCAGGATCATCTTAGTAGCTAAGTGACACCCTAGGTATTTTAGGGATTGACCAGACCTGTGAGATCATGGTTTTTAGGGAGAAGGTACGTAGGGCATTACTGTGTATGTAGTCGAGGGAGGGGACATGTCGCGGCACTATGATTTGTTGCGTGAAGGACACATTACTAACTCGGTGTAGTTGTACAGGGCAGGCAATGGTTCTGACAAGCCAGATGTATGTAGTGGAGATATAGGATTGAACATGATCCTCCAGTTAGTGGAGGGAGAGAGCAGGATCGTGAGCTCGTGGATCATGACCTTTTTTTCCATAAGAAGTAAAAACGAAATCAATTTCGTTTTAAATATAATAAAAATAAAAGTAATTTATCTGATTTATCTATCTTAACACACAGGTATGTTGGTAAGTAAGAATGATATCACATTCTATTGAAAGGTGACTCCCATTACAGTAATACTGTAAATCCATGCAATACATACGTCTATGTTTCATATTACAATATGGAACTCATCGGTTGTATACACAGATCACATCGACGAATCAAAGCGAAAGTAAGTTCCGAATAAAGTGTGATTTTAGGCTACGCTAATAAAAACGTCATTATGCCTTTATCGACGTCGTTATGTTCGCCAATGTTGTTCGTTTTTGGACAGGAAATTAAACGTAAATGCAGGAGAGGCCTTATAGTAAAGAAAGTTGTACAGAGGGTGTAATTTGTATCTTAACTGCGCCCTCGTGTATATATTCGCTGACGTCAGATAAAGACGTGTTTGGTAGTGACGTCAGATAAAGACGTGTTTGGTAGTGACGTCAGATAAAGACGTATTTGGTAGTGACGTCAGATAAAGACGTGTTTGGTAGTGACGTCAGATAAAGACGTGTTTGGTAGTGACGTCAGATAAAGACGTGTTTGGTAGTGACGACATATATAAACGTGTGCGTAATGACGTCAGATAAAGACATATATGGTAATTGACGTGTGGTAACAACTTTATATACAGACGTGTGCGGTAATGACGTCAGGTTAAGACACATGTGTGATTTGTAGCGTCAGTTTAAGACGTAAATGGTTTTTTTTTTTGTATTTGAATTCAGATAGAGACTTGTTTGGTATTTGGCGTCAAATACTGACGTGTGTTATATTTGACATCAGGTAAAGAAATATGTGTTATTAAACGTTAAATAAAGATATTTGTGTTATTTGACGTCAGAATAAAACGTGCGTGAAAAATAACGTCAAATAAAGACTTGTGTGTAACTTGCATCATAAAGACACTTGGGTGTTATTTGGCGTCAGTTAAAGACATGCGTGGCACTTGTTTGGAATCACATAAATCATGGTGTGGAATTTGATTTTAGAATGAGACGTGTGGAATATATGACGTCACATAAGACGTAAGTGGTATTTGACGTCAGACCAAGACACGTGTATGGTATTGGCGGCATATAGACTAGGGTGTGTCATTTGACGTCTGTAAGAGACTTGAGTGGTACACTTGATGTCAGTAAGACACGTGTGAAATATTTGAGACAGATAATTAAAGTAAGAGATGATACTTGATGTTAGATTTGTGTGATATTTGACGTCAGAAAAGAATGTGCGTGGTAGTCATGTCGGTAAAGAAGACGTGTGCTTGGTATTGCTGAATAATTAAATTTGTTTGACATTATTGGCGAAATTGCATCATGTTCGTTCCTTACACGTGAGCGTTGTTAAATCGTCAAGTCATATCTAGTTATCGTATATAAACGACTTGCTAAGGAGAAAGCCATGTTGATCCTGATCGCTCCAGGCCGCCACATAACGCTAATGGTCAATATGTATTCACCGCGAGAGCCTATTGATACTGCGGGCATGGAGCATTACTTAAACGCAGTTGGATTTTGATAACAAAAACTCATCTTAACGTGAACACTCGAAATGTTTTACATCACTTATGCTCCTTTAATATTTCTTAATCTTCTATTCAATTCTTGAATTTGATTCTTTATACCGAAATGTGTTGGGGTTTTTTTTTTTTTTTTTTTATCAACAATCTGAATTCTTGATTAAAAGTTTAGAGATTCTGGATCTGTGTATGAAATTCATTGGTCACAGCAGACAGGGAACGATAAAAGAAGGAACAATACTGAGAGATGTTTGCGCTAATTATTTTTAAGAACGAAGGCTAGGAAGGAAAAAGTATGGTTGAGATTGATGCTGACCATGTGTGGTTATCTGTATACTATATGATTGGTTAATACACAGTGGCACTGTATAGATGTTTTAAACTGACTTGACCCCGTGTCTTAAATTATTAAGCAACGGTCACTGTAGACAGGAGACGCATTAGAGATCTATCAACCAGACCTCGTGCCTGAGATTCAGTGTTTCGCTCTACTGTACTCCCATATATGGTTGTTGTAGATAGCTGTCCTATGTCAGACTGTCTGGTACGACAAAACACCGCCATTTACTTACCTACCACAAATCGCGTCATAGAGCACCAGGGGCCTGTTCGTTTATGCGGAACAACTGGTTTGTCCGTTTTTAAATGTAACAATTTCGGGTATAAATCCTGGCAGACCTGCAAATGTTTGCTTTGTCAAGGTTTTGTCAAGGCTCGCCTGAAAGCAGCATCATATTACTAGGTCCGACCTTATTTAATAAACGAACAACTGTGGTCTGACCGGTTCAACCGTGTAAACGAAAACATCTGACCAAGCATGGGAGATAACTGCCACCTCATCACGTGAGTGCAAGTGTACCCGTGTATTTATCATATACGGTCGTGCTTTGTTATCAACTTGTTGACCATTTGTGTACTGGGAGCTAAATGTCAGATTGAGGGCGTTGCCATATCAATAAAATAAACTGTTTATCACGTAGCTCCGATATTTTGCAGTGAATATAACCGGATCATATATGTTTACGGTCAGACTGTCTTACATTGTACCATGAATTATTATAACATAAATGTTGCTACATGTAAATGATTATTTGAACAAGTCAGGCGAATGCTAGCGCATGTGGTATATAGTGTTTAGCATTATGTTATGACGTGTATAAGGCAAGTCGAACGAACGTTATAGGATATTCAGATATTCCCTGAACCAATAGCCGCAACATTTTATAGCAAAGAACCCAGAACCTTAACGTATCATACGATGCAGAAACACAGCTGTCCCCAAAATCGAGATGGTTGTTTATCATCTTTATCTAAATCGAGTTAGAAAATTTCAAATTGTATAAAGACACGAGGTTTACCGAGTGTCTTTAACAATTTAAAAATTAACCAACGAGAGTTTGGGGACATCTTTTTCCTTAAGCGTTCAGATATTGTATCTAGGAAAGCATGTGTTTCTTTTGTTAATACAATATTCCTGTTCCGACCAGGGAAACAATTTTATGAACTAGGACGTCGCAATGTAAGATGACGTCGCCATACATTGTTACTTGACGTCATTATAGGAAGATTGAACAATGACATCGCGTCCAGAGTGTAACCCACAAGTGAAGTAACCAAAATGTTAACGAACATCAAACGAGTCGGGAGGGAGGAAACCTATAGTGGCTGTGGGAGAAACACGATTGTATGATTACCATATGAAAAGATTTATGCTACCGTCTATG